GGGGGGTGCGGGCGTGTAGCATATGGGAATGGGATAGGGTGATGTACATGTATGTTTTTAATTTTGGGCTTACGAGTATCCTTTCACTCTCTGGAAATGTTGCCTGTTTGTGTGAACCCGGGACGGCGGACAAACCTGTGACTCGTGAGCATCTCTCATCTCTCTTGTGTGCTTACCTAGACTGACCCCTTGACAGAACTTCTGCTGGCTCGGGTTTGCACGAGGAACTTGGTACGGCTCTTCTTAGCGTGATATTGCATACCTGACTGGAAGTCTAGAATCTATGTAGGAAAAGTGATGAGGAGACACCTCGCACTATCTTCCTGCATCTTCGCGTGACACTCCGCCAAACAGCTCCCGAGCACATACGACTTGGAACAACATTAACACATATTAATATCTACGGTTCTGCGCGAATCGAGCGTATATAAACTAGGATCGTAGGGTTTAGGGCACGCTTTCATCTCTAACCACCATCTTCCCGGGCCATCTCCATTAGGAACCGATTCCTGTTAGAGCGACCAACGTCCGTCTGAGGAAGAAGGGTGCCAAACGCGAATACTGAGTACGTCTCTCTTATTCTGGTTGCCAACCCCCGCTCATGGACGCATATACCTAGCTCTAGCTCCGAGGTTCCTGCTGACAACTTGAACCTTCCTCCTGTGCCTGCTCAACGAGGACACAAACGCAATGCCCCCTCCCCTGCCCCCTCCCCCGCCCCCTCCTGTCCTCAGGCTACTGCCGAAACGCCCGCCAACGGCCCCGATATGGACAGTCCGAAACCTAAGAAGCGCAAGACTGACAAAAGGGAAAGTCCGCGCAAGATCTGCTGGTTGGAGGAAACCCCTACGGATATTATGCTACATGTGAGCACCTCTCTCGTCATAGCGCATATATGTTCCTTTCCCAACAGCCAACAGGCGGCAAGGGCGCATATATGCGCCGGGTTGCTCATGAGATGTTCAGTTGTTGATCCATTCCCTAGATTTTCTCCCATGTCGAGCCTATCGATCTCCTCAACCTATCTTCCACGAACAAGAACATGCGTGCTTCCCTTCGAGCGCCTGAAGCGAAGCATATGTGGGTACAAGCAAGGGCGAACGTACCTGATCTGCCTGATCTGCCACCTGACATGACAGAATGGGTTTATGCTGCACTCGTGTTCCAAAAAAGATGTCAGGTGCGCGCTGTCCCAAGTCCTCGATTATCAAAACCTGAAAACCTGATCTTCCGCCGGCGTACTGTAGAGGTGTGGCAGAAAGTCTGATCTGCGTGTCGAAACTGCGCACATTCGCATTCGCCTATGTGTCCTCTGCACCAAAGACTGTGTCATATGCGGAAGAGTCGCCAGCAACCTTCTCCAGGTTGGACCGAGCTTACTGTCTCTTGTCCCTGGCTATGGTGAGCAGTGAATACTCAGTCAATGTCCTCGTTAGCTGAGCACTCTTCGACCCCAGCGCCTGGTGGAAAAAATAATGTCACACATGCCCGCTACCTGCGCCGCTCAGTAATGGAGCTCTACAATGAGAGGCTGGCCATCCAACCTCCTGCAGAACTAGCATCCTTTGATAAAGAAAGGCATCAATATGTACAAAGGCTCGACAAGGTGCGATGTCTTCACACTGGCAGGTCGGAGCTTCCAGCTGAAGCCATGATAGGGTGCCGATGAGATAAAACAGTTTCTAGATGGTTCACGCCGCAGGCATCAGTTGTCTTTACAACGGGAGAACGATGCAAAACGTCATGAGTGCGTTGGAGACTGTTTTGCTGCAGGCTTGAATCTGCTGACATTGAAGATACTTCCCAAAGGTTTGTCTGGCGTCTAAGAAAGCTCGGCTATGACTCTATAGACATTGATAAGGTTGATATTGAGTACTATGTCCTCGTCAACTGGGGGCGGTCTTTGAGATTCTGCTGTGAGTAACTTGTGTCATGTGACAGTGAAAGAGATTCTTTTGAGTTTAGTAGCCTGGGCTTCAAGCGGTAGGTACCTCGAGCACATTGTCAAGGCCAACCGTGAGACACGTCTACAAAATCGACCTCGCTCACGAAACAAGAGGGAACTTCGTGCTGTCTTTGTCAAACTCTTCAATGATCTCCCAACGGAAACCGAGAAGAATACATTCTCACTGTTGGGGATTTCCTGGCACTGCCATCTGTTCGACAACTACTCTTCAGCCAAGCTCGGACGGATGAATTCAGAGCACAAGTACATGTGGCTCTCCCTGTGATGACTATCGAAGCAAATGCATTCTGCGCTCGTATGCGACAGGACCTTATTGCACTGTGGATGAAAGGCACGGGTGGGTCGTCATGGTGGGAACCAAATGATCACGATGATGCGTGGGCCTCCCAGTTCTTGTCCTATGCTGTCGTCATGTTTACTCAGCGGACTCGTCACAAACCCTGCGGCATCCTAGTGCATTACTCTACTCTATTCAAGCGTCATTCATTCGGATCTATTGCCTCACTGCCCCACCAACGCGACTATGAAGAAGATGTACGTCCGACTGTTCATGAAAAGTGGCACACATACTTGTCCCGCATCGAATTCAGTCGTAGACACTCCACTGCCATGAAGAGGACGGTGGAACACTTTAACCTTGACTGGAGACATGATACTCTATCCATGCTGGCTACTCAGACAGGTTGGCTGGATCAGGTTCGCGTGGCCCCGTACTCCAATGAGCGGCATATGCTAAACCCCTGCTCAATCAGTTTACTGAGCAATTTCACAAATACAAGCCTTCCTCCAATGAAGAGAGCGAATATGATTCGTACAGCGATATAGATTGGGATAGGTTCCCTGGAACAGACAGCAAATAATGCGCACTGCGCTCTAACTCCAAGCTTCAGCTGTTGCCTTTTGTTATGAATAATAGTGACGTTATGAGATCCAGAGACCAGAGATACAGGTTTCGAGAGTCATTACTAGCATATGATTATATTGATACCGTTGATGCCCCCATTATCGTTTGAAAGTGGGAGTTCACGAGTTGCGATCGGGTGTGATTTTACCAAGAGTGTTTGAATGATACCCTTTGGAGCGGAAAACTGTGCGGTAGTTTCACACAGCTCTGGGCGATGCCGCTCCGATTGTGCACATATGCGGCTATCAGACTTGTTGCCTAATGCGTCTCTCATACAAATGCGTAGTCAACACGCATGAATCTGTGATGTGCTTGAGGTTGCGTAAAGTAAAGGAGGAAGATCTTGCTTCCGATCGAATACCGATCGCAAACACCTCATCGATGCATGCATTATCCTTGTTTGGAATCGGGTCCCGAAGTTTTGCCAGACCTGAACCAGCATCCGTTAGTGGTCAGGAGTTGACATCCTTGACAATCCGATTCCTGTTTTCTACTCAGAGACATCCTTTCGCCTCTCCCTGGGCATGATATTGGAAAAGCTGTTCCAACATCGTGTTAGCGTTCTCCAAATACTACCGCCGACCTGTACTAACATCTACACAGAACAGCTTGTTTCCATCGGGAATGAATTGAATTCGTGTCGTGTCATTGCAGTACCTGTTGAAACAAGAATGCTTTCCTACCAAATAACCTTCCACAAAAAATACATTGTGAGAAACCAATCATTCATCCCACCAATCTTCATAGAATCTGTCATAGAACTGGTTCTGGGTCCTCCATTTCTGCATTGTCATCGTCCGGCTTGCCAGGTACAAACGCGTTCGTCCTCAGCGGGCTGCTGAATTTCGCTGGACGATAGGATCAGAAACCCTTCGCCGACCGTTGAGGTGAGAAAACTCACGCTGATACAAGAGACTCTTTCGCTTCGCCCTCTCCACCTGATCCTCCAATCCCAGAGGAACGACAATTTGGCTCAGGTTTGCCTCGTTCAGCAATTCAACTCTGGATGGCTCCATGCTGATCCTCCTTCCCAACCCTCTTCCGGGAGCAGACCTTGCATTAGGCCTTGTTGAGCACCCAGGAATGGCACTCATGATACCGGCACCAGCACTCAGGTCAAGCCGCCATTCTGTTACCTCCACTCGACGATTCTCTTCGGCACACTTGACTACCCAGCCAACCGCCACCGTTTCAGGTTTGGGATCAGGAAGGTTATGGTATCGAGTAATCGTGTGAGGTAACGGTGACTTAAGAACAAGATGGGTTACTGATGGACTTGGATATTTCAGAACCTGGGCAGATACGTTAGCCTTGGAATATCAAGGTCAGGATATAGCTTACTCTGGCGCCGAGTATTTTAAGCATCTCCACAAATACCCCACCCGCATCATCGCCGTCCTTTGTTCTCACTTCCACAAATACAACGCATCCTGTCAGGGGAGCAGTGTGCCCAGTCTCTGGTCCCGTTCTTTCTGTGGTATGGACTGTTTCGCTAGGCCCACCATTTAGAGAGGGGAAAGGATTGGTTAATGTTGTGAGGGCTGATGTTGTTTGAGATCTGGTCAAACTCGACGCGTTTTTCGACCGTGACGAGTTTCGGGCGTGTCCTTTCTTGGCAGATACAAATGTAGATGGCCCCGGCTGAACGGTAATCTTTGTGTTTTCCTTTGCGGTTTTCGGAGTGAAACCGATCCTGGAACTACTTCGAGGCGGGGGCAGATTAAGCTTGCCGAGCGCGGTACTGAGATTCGACAAGCTTGTTTGTGCCTCATTCGAGAGGCTAGACAAGCTAACCCTTCCGCTTGGGCCAACCGTCCCAACATCACGAGAAACATGATCCGCATCTTTGATCGGTGCGAGAATATCTTGCTCTGGTATAACAGCAGCCTTCTGAGGTGGCGCACGGAAGGCACTGGGAGGCATCTGCTGGCGCACGACTCGGACAGGACGAGAGGACCCGCTCCGAGTCGGCATTGAATGGTTCTGAGGTTGGAGCGGTGATTGCTGGGCTTCTTGGGCCAACGAAGTGATGGGAGCTTGTCCACGAATGCGAGTCGAGCGGACGGGAAGACGAGACGTTGGTAGCCGACCTGGTGGAGACAGCGCTTTGAGGGGAGTTGGAAGAGGAGAGGTGGCGGCTACTGGCTCTGGCCTTGGGGCAAGCACCGGTGGAGTACATGGTCGCGGAGGAGAAGCGAGAGGTGCTGGTATATCTGAAGAGCCCACAGAGGGAGGTGGGGCTAAGTCTCTCGGGCGAGCAGAACTTGCAACTGAGGTCACGCTTGCAGTGGACGGGCTGCCACTCTTTTGCAACGGAACAGGTGTCACCTTGGTTCGAGCAGCCGAGGTGTTGCCCATGAAGGTTTGATCAGGAATTTCCTTCACATCTTCATCTCCCTTTTTTGGTAGCTTGTCACCGATCGACATTGCAAACAGGCTTCCGCTTCCTTGACTACGGCTAATCGGATTCTTCCATAGCTGCGGCACTCCTGTGAATTTGGTCGGACTGGGTAGTTGACGAGGTCTGGTTGGGGATGGCGGTGGTCTGGCCAGATTGATGTGCGGCATTTCCGGCAATTCTTGTTTGTTCTTCGGGGCAAACGCAGGATGTGCCCCTGAAAGGAAAATAGACCGTTGTCGTTTTCGAGGTGAGGCATCATCGATATCTGGATCCGGCGGTGCCAAATTTGAGGATTCTGTACGCTGGGCAACAGGCGAGGGTGACATAGAATCGCGAGCTCGCTTCAGGGAGAGGAATTCAATTTTCCGCTGAACCTGACCCAGCCCATCATCATCCTCAATGTCCTTGTCCTCCTCGGCAACTAACATCGTTTGCTCATCGACGGACGCAGCGACCTTAGCCCTCTTGGGACTGTCTTCGAACATCAACTCCTCATCATCACCTGGGGCCTTGCGCTTCTTCGTTGGGCTAGGTGAGGATTGATCTGCGGTACGGACGAGGAACGGGTTCTCCTTGTCTCCATCTGGTGCCGGTCGCGCCAAGAGAGTGTCGAACTTGAGCGGTGCGATTTCGAAAGTCCCGCGACTGGTGGTGGGAATAGATGTTGACTTCTTTGGCGATCCATCACACTCAAGATTGAGCAATGCTTCAGACAGTGGTATCCTCGTTGACTGGGCTGGTGGTACCAGACCCTGGTTCGAACTAGCTTTCGGCGGAGACTTGCGAAATGCGGATTCCATACGTTGGGTCATAGACCGAGTGCGAATAAAGGGGTAGGACTGAGGAGCCATAGTAAGAGAAAGTGGTTGACAGTATTAGGATATAAGTGCAGGGTATGACAGGATGTGTGTGTGCGCTTGCTGTCAGCGACGATGAGCACGAGTGGCAAGGCAGCGAGCTGAGAGGAACGCGGACAGAGCGCGACGCGTTGGGATGTAGATCACGTGTTTCTCTGTTTCCATTTTCAATGAACGGAAGCAATTGCCTCCATCCTTCCACCGTTCTCACCGGCCCTTTCCGCACAGCTTCTCAAATGAAAACCATGTCGATGTGACGATGCCGATACCCTTTTGGAAGTCTCCTGCCCAAATCAATGCCACGTCGGACTCTGACAACTCTTGGCGGGCCCGATACATCGGATCAGGATCATATCAATAGGTTGCTCCACCATCTTGATGGGATCCGCCCAAAGCAAACGCCCAGTCCCAACCATTGGCGAGGCATGTTTAATCCTCATCTGCCGGCCTGAGGCGATTATTGCTATGCGATGACTGCATTCTACATGCGGAAAATCTGTACCACTTGTTTGCCCGACCGTCCGCCTTCTCACCGGGGATGTCGGAGTCTGCTCAAGAGTCCAAGGCCCTCGATTGTCATGCTTGGTGCGAATGAGCTGTGCATCGCTTGCTCGCCTGTGGGACACTTTCTCTATAAAACCTGGCTGGGAGTTTCGCTTGAGAGCACAGTCCTCCAGCATCTCACTCCGTTCATCAGAGCCTCCTCGTCCTTCAACGTCACAATGCTTTTCACACTCTCTATTCTTGCATTTGCCGCTACCGCAGTTGCTCAGAACATGCAGTTCTGCTATCCCCCGGTGGGGACGACCGTCACAGCTGGCCAGCCATTTACGGTCAGCCTGAATGAAGCCGGTACGTTCATCAGTTTACCAATATCAACTGCCGTTTGATGGCGATCTCCAGATAGCACCTCCGGCTGGACGGACGTCGGGCTAGCTCTCGCTTACCGTCCCTGCCCATCTGGTAACTGTCTCCCTGCGTCAAACGACAATGGCCTGGGCACGTCTCTATTTGTGACTCCGTTCCACGCGGCCTACGGACAACGCACCGATCCCGAAGCATGCAATTACTATGGCAACGTTACGGTCACCATTCCAGAGGGTATCACCGGTGAGGTCCAGTTAGCTGTTGGTCATTTCTTTGTTATTGGGGTATGTCATTGTTGTAATATTTTCTATATTGAACTGAACACCCTCGCAGGCCAGCGACATGCCTGGCGTTGATATTGTCAGCACCACTCTGACTGTTGTGTAATTGGACCCCAGTCCTGCGGCCTTCTGCCAGTCCGAAATTTCCGAATGAGCCAAATTCAATAAAAAAGAATTCGATTACACCCCTCTATGTTGCTGAATCTATCCTCATTCATGTAACAGTCATGTGACATCTGAAAGCACCATTCTTCGTAGTCCAAACCGCGCATGGGCAGCTACAACCCCCAAGTCTCGTGGACAGGGCTGGTTGGCTGGTGTCGGAGCACCACGGAGTTTACATCGCTTCTGGCACAGTATGGTTACTTCAGGCACGAAGCTGTCTGACTTCTCATGTGCTATACAGTTTCAGTGCATGCTTCGAGCTTACCTATAACCACCTCGACAGGTGGGGCCATCCTCCGAACATCGGGCAATGTACCCAACGCGCGCTGACTGAACTCCAAGGTATGCCAAACAGGGTGTATCAATATCAGACAACGGATCTCAGTCAAACAATACATAACATCTTTCGCCTACTTGCTTCAATCGTACTCATGCAACGCTTCACTGCGCTTCGTTCTCATTCTTGTTCAGTCTTAGACCTCTCCTTCTCATAAAATATCAGTCCAACCTCGTCCGCGGCGCGCTTCTCCCAAATCTGGAACCTGCCAAAATACCAGTCCATTGCAAATCGGACAAACAGCGCTCAACGCTGTCCATACGCTCCGAGTTCCTTGTCCAGCTCCGCCCCGGGCTCTTCGACCATCCCTCCGCTCGGGCCGGGCGCACTAGGGTGGGGGAACGTATATCCACTCGTACCATCGTTTTCGACCACAGGGCTGGCAAGGATATCGTCCCTGCTCGGAATAGGGAGCGAGTCCTGTTTCCTGGCTTGCAGTTGCTGCCTAGCCTGGGAACGCACCAGGGCGCGGAAGGAGTTTACTTCCTCTATAATGAGCTGCTTCATCCCTGGCATGTCGTCTACTTCTTCGAAACCAAAGTCGAACGTCTGGCTGCAGAGCGGCTCGTCCGCCGTATCGTGCCATACGGCGAGGTACGGGTGCTCAAGCGCCTTCTCGCAGGAAATACGCTTGGCAGGGTCGAAGCAGAGCATCTGGCTTAGGAGGTCGATAGCCAGAGGGTTTGCGTGCGGGTAGAGGGATTGGAAGGGGATACGGGGTTTGATAGGCAGGGAACGGATGTAGTCCTGCGCCCTGGGGGAGCCGACGCGACGCAGCGTGTCCTCAGACGGCGTGCCGAGGTAGTGCAGGATCTGGTTGAGCTGGTCGACATAGCTGTTTTCGGATCAGTCACGCCTGTAGCACATTGGATTCGGCATACTTACTCCCTGCCCTTGAAGATGGGCTTGCCACCCAAAAGCTCCGCAAATATACATCCCACACTCCAGATATCGATTGCCGGCCCGTAATTAGCAAAGCTCAACATGATCTCTGGCGCACGATACCACCTCGTCGCGACGTACTCAGTCATGAACCCCTGCTGGCCCTTATTGCTGTGCTGCTGTGTGCCCGGTCCGGGCTGCCAACCCCTCGCCAGTCCGAAATCGCAGATCTTCAGCTCACAATCGGCGTTTACGAGAAGGTTGCCCGGCTTGAGATCGCGGTGGAGCACATTCGCGCTGTGGATGTATTTGAGCCCGCAGAGGGTTTGGTAGATAAAGGACTGGAAGTGGGCGTCGGAAAGCGGCTGACCGGATCGGATCTGTAAAGAATGCGATTAGTGGGAAGGGGAGAGGGAAGCTAAGAAGATCGCGCACGATCGCATGCAGATCTGCCTCCATCAACTCCTCGTACAGGTAGACCTCGTTGTAGTCGCCATTGGGCTCATAGACGATATCCATATCATACAAGCAAGTGATCTGCGCTCATCAGTATTTCGCCTCCATCATAGCACACAAACGCACGTTCTTGTGCCCCCTAAAGTGGTGGAGCAGCCTGATCTCCCGCAGACAGCGCTTGGTTAGGATACGCTTTGTGTTGATATTGGTAATCTTCTTGATTGCGCACCCTTCGCCTGAACGACGATGGCGTGCAGCGACGACACATCCATAGGCACCCTGGCCGAGTTCCTTGACAAAGTCGTACTCTGAGTCGACGATGAAGCTCTGGTTGAGTGCGGTGAAGGTGTGACGATGAGACATTGTTGTTGAGGGCTTGTCTAGTGGTATAGAAGTGAAGGAAAGAAAGAATAGGAAGAAAGTGTGAGGTAAGAAGTGTGTCGAGTGGTTATGTTTTATATGAAACTGAGTTCCTTTGGCTGTTGACGTTTGGCTATGCAAAGGCGGTGATGAGGAGGGCCACCGGGAGAGGAGCAAGAGAAGATGTGATGAGGAGGAAGGGGTATAACGGGAGTATTCTTTGGGTGACAATGAAATACATCCGGCGTTTCGAAATTGGATCAGCAAAGGGATCCAAAAAAGGATATCGTATTGCTCGAAAAGAAGCGCTTTTCGCCGTGTGACGTTACACACAAGGGTCACACAGTCTGACTCGGCCGACCACAAGGTAAAGTACATTATTCCATTCATCAATTACTCACTGTCTCGGTCAGAATAACCTAATATTCCTCAAATGATTTATGAAGACGACGACGAGCACGAAGGACACCCCCTTCTTTCAACCCAACGACCACCTCGAACTATGGCTGCTCAACCAACGCCTCTTTCCCAGATCGACAATTCACGTCCTTTCGTTCTTCTACTAGACAACTACGACTCTTTTACCTGGAACTTATACCAGTACATATCCCAGCTCGGGGCAAACGTTCAGGTTCTTCGCAACGATGAGCTTACCCCAGCCGACTTCCCCAACCTCAACATCTCACACCTCGTCGTCTCCCCCGGCCCTGGACACCCAAGCACAGACAGCGGAGTGAGCAGGGAGGCAATCCAGTACTGGGGGAACGGTCGTGTTCCCGTCCTGGGGGTGTGCATGGGCTTGCAGTGCCTCGTCGACGCCTACGGGGGCGACATCTCCTATGCCGGGGAGATCGTACACGGGAAGGCTTCTCCAGTGAGGCACGACGGCCTTGGAATCTTCCGTGGTGTACCGCAAGACATCCTCGCCACCCGTTACCACTCACTGGCTGCGACGCTCCCCACGTTCCCCAAGGAGCTCGCTATCACCGCCACGACGAGCGATTCAGGCGTCGTCATGGGTGTCAGGCACAGGCTATATGCGGTCGAAGCCGTGCAGTACCACCCCGAGAGCATTCTCTCCCAAGACGGGCATGCCGTCCTGCGCAACTTCCTCGCGTACTCAGGCGGCAGCTGGGCCCAGAACCCAGACAGCGGCGTCATCCCCTCCGCACCCGCACCAGCCACTGCCCAAGGGCAGAACGGGTTCGACCCCAACCCAGAGAACGCGGCGAAGAAAGGCCTTCCAAGCATCTTGCTCAAGATCCAGACGCAGAGACTGCTGGATATCGACCTAGCGAAGAAGACACCCGGTACAACCCCGCAGGACCTCGCCACGCTGTATGCGCTGCATCTTGCCCCGCCCCTGATCCCCGTGCTCTCCCGCATGCGTGCTGGTACCAAGCCCGCCATTATGGCTGAGATCAAGCGTGCCTCCCCCAGCAAGGGGCATATCGCCGTGTCGACCTGCGCACCCGCGCAGGCCCTCGCATATGCCCTCGCGGGCGCGAGCGTCATCAGCGTGCTCACCGAGCCCAAGTGGTTCCTTGGTTCGCTGCAGGACATGCGTCTGGTTCGTGAAGCCGTTGCGCACCTGCCCAACCGCCCCGCTATCCTCCGCAAGGACTTTATCCTCGATGAATACCAGATCCTCGAGGCCCGCCTGGCCGGTGCCGACCTGGTCCTGCTCATCGTCGCCATGCTCTCGCAGGAACGCCTCTCCGCTCTGTACGCATACAGCAAGAGCCTGGGTATGGAACCCTTGGTGGAAGTAAACAACGCCACGGAGATGGAACGTGGCTTGGCACTGAACGCCAAGCTCATTGGCGTGAACAACCGAAACCTGCACAACTTCGACGTCGATATGGGCACCACTACCCGGCTCGCAGACATGCTCCGCGGGAGGGAAGATGTCCTCCTCTGCGCCCTGTCTGGGATTTCCAGCCGCAAGGACGTGGAGGTCTACATCCAGCAAGGCGTGCATGCTGTCCTGGTCGGGGAGAGCCTAATGCGCGCGCAAGACCCGAAGGGGTTCATCCGCCATCTCCTAGGTGACCCTCAGACGCAAACGAACGACACCCCCTCCCCCCAGCCACTGGTGAAGATCTGCGGTATCCGAACGCCAGAAGAGGCCCTGCTCGCTGCGCACGCAGGCGCAGATATGCTCGGCCTCAACTTCGTACCACAGAGCAAGAGGTCCATCGATCTCCTCACCGCGGCCGTCATAGCGCGCACCATCCTCCCTCTCCGGCTGGGCCCTAGCCCCGCCCCTCTCGCCCATGACAGCGAGGAGAAATCAGATAACCAGATAACGACAGGGACTCCCTGGTTCCAGCATACGACGTCACACATCGCTTCCCTTCCCCGCCCGCTCCTTGTTGGCCTGTTCCAGGACGCCCCGCTCAGCATCATCCTGCACACGTTGGCCCACGTCCCTCTGGACCTGGTACAACTCCACGGGTCCGAGCCGGCGGGTATGGCGCACTTCATCCCCGTCCCAGTGATCAAGGCGTACCACGTTGGCCCCCTAGGCGAAGGCACGGAGCACGTCGGTCGCCCTGGGCAGGAAAGTATCGTCCTGCTAGACACTGCGCCCCGGCCGCACCCGAGCACGTCGCCGTCCAGTGCTGGGGCCGGTGCGCCTGTGGGAGCAGCTGCCGCCCCGGCGGGAGGAACGGGCGAAGCCTTTGACTGGAGTATCGCTGCCGAAGTCGGGAAGCGCTCCGAACCGCTCGAGGGGCGCCCAATGCCCATCATCCTCGCCGGAGGGCTAAAGCCGGAGAACGTCCGCCAAGCGGTGAGGCGTGTTAGGCCCTGGGCGGTCGACGTGGCCAGTGGCGTCGAAGTCGAGGGAAGGAAGGACGAGGCCGTCATGCGCGCTTTTGTGAGTGCTGCTAAGGGGGCGTGGGAGGAGCTGCCTGCGTCTGTAGAGCCTGCTACGGTCGCCCCGGTACAAGAGGGAGTACTGATAGACGTTGGCACCGAGGTCATTGGCCAGCCTGTGGGAGCGACGACGGCTGCTCCGCCTGTGCCTTCCCCTGGGACGAGCGGTATCGCTACTCCCGCCGCGGCCAACGGGTCGGTGCCGCCTTTGCCGGCTGTGAGTGCGAAGCGGGGTTTGGTCCGGCCTGAGGGCAAGTAGTATTATAAGTAGAGAGCTACATAGGCTCAGTCAGATCGGGTCATGGGGGAAACCGTTCACATGGGAATTAATCTGTTATCGTTCTTATTCAAAGCGGTGAATAGGTAGTCTGTCCTTTTATTCTTGGGCCTCTATTAGCCCAGAAATTCACACATCGTCACCTGAACGCTGGCCGCTGCACACCGCCGAAAAGCCTATCTTGCATTGATCGGCAAGGGACCAGGCATTTCCAGAACACGTCGCAGTCACCTAGGTATTCATACTGCAGCTTGAAGGCGCATGTTGACACCTGTGTCAATGAATATGATAGATCGTACCATTATAGAGCAGCCATCCAGAAACTGCATCCGCCAAAGTGCAAAAACAATCCGTGAACTTATCTGGTATTCATTGCAAATACATGGAAATACGAGGAGAGCTGCATGTAGATATATCTCCTTCCTAAATTTGGTGAAATCTACTACTGCATTCGATCATCACCGTCTCCGCGAGGCAGTTTCTGCGCCTCAGTCCCATTTCATCCTCTTCACATACTTTTGTATCGGGCTCACAAACCTGTCCTCTAGCTCCTGTCCTCGCCCGCTCGCAACCTTCAAGATCGCCTCATTCAGCGCTGTCGAGCCAAGGATGTCTATGTGGTCCGCAGTCTTTGGCCCACCCCGGAGATCAAGCGTTTCCGGCTCGTGCAGCATCTCTTGTACAGTGACGGGTATTTTTGCAGGGTTCCAGCGTGGGTGTTTCCAGCCTTCGACACACATCGAACCGAGCGATATAAGCGAGACTGTCCCGTCACCTTCACCCACCTTTACTCCATTCTTGATCTGAGCAGGCAGATTCAATATAGAATGAGCGCGGATGAATCCTTAGGAACGTACCTTGGGAAAACCCGCTTCATAATTCACAGATGTGTCTATCCAATTCTTCTTCAATGTGGGTAGATCAAGGGATCCCCGCAGCATTGATCCGTTAGTGGACATGACACTTTCGGCGCTGGGTGCGATGCTAGAAGAGTCGCTATGTTCCTCACCAGGCTCGTATGGCCCCTCAGTATACCTACAAGCTTGTCAGCATCGCCGGTCTACGGTCCAAGAATACACGTGCCAATAGGATCGCTGGAAGGAGCAGGTCTTGTTCAACAGGTGACATAAGCTTTGCACAGCATCACGCACCTCAGTCTCCTTGCCGTACCCATACAAACAATAAATCTTCATGTCCGGCGCGTTTGGAAGTCTATCGGCTCGGTCAGGCTCGCATCGTTAGACGACGAACGATGCTCTCACCTAACTTCCAAGGGGTTCACCCATTTGGTATGATCATGGTCGTTTTTCTTCAGTTTTTCCTCGTCCCGTTCCATACCATAGCTATAATTCGTGGCGAGCATTCGCTGAAACATCTCAGCATGAACCGAATGAAAATACTTAGCAACGCACCTGGAACTCGACAGGCGTCCTTTCCAGTACCCACTTGCTCACTTCATCAGCAGTCATGTTAGCAATCTGATGCACATGGTCCCCATGCTCTTGCTGGAAGGAGAAGAACCGGCCATGACTTAAGGTACAATTATCGGGGTCGTCCGGAGCGTGCTCGCCATTGCCCCAAATATCGTTACCGCCCTACCCAGTGTCCGTTAGCAGAAAGAAGAGGATACTTGTGGTTACGGTACTTTGATCCACATGCTAGCGCTCCCTGCCCAGCTGCGGAATATCTGTGCACGCTCTCTGCGGCTAAAGTATCGCTCCAGGACTTATTAAACTGTGAGCATTGGTTGCATGGGCAGATCCGAGCTGACCATATGATCCAGCAGGGTTGATCTCAACTGTGTCCTTCATCTCCCCAGACAAAAATGCAGTTATCGCTTTCGCCTATTTCGGGATAAGGTCCAAATCCTCCACACTCGCAGAGACATACAACACCGAACATCGTACCTGCAATATTCACGAACGCTTCGATATGTTCCTGGCTAAGGATGAGAGATAGCTAAGAGGTATATGTGGCACGTACGTCAACCCATTTTGGGCCGCCGTTGCCGTACTTTGGACCCGACGCCTCGACCCATTTTAGGCTAATGGTCGGTTAATCGCAGCACGTGGCGAGGTTCAGGAACCTACAAGTACTAAGAACAGTGAGAACGCCAGTCTGCAAAATGCTGAGTACCACACACCAGAACAACCTACGCATGACCGTGCATCTCTAGTGAGCCCAATCACCAGAGGCAGGTATCGGTCACTAACCTCCGAACCCATACTATGTCCAACAATTACTGTCTTCTTCCCCTGTTTCTGCTTGTAGAGCTCTATTCGCATCTTGAGCAGGGAAAAATAGGAGTCGCGTTCTTCGAGGTTATAGAAGGAGAGTCGCCAGTCGTACGCCGCGAGAAAGAGGTTGTTGCTGTCGTAGTTCAGACATGCGAGGTTCTCGATCACCTTTGCCCTGTGCTCGTATCATCAGAGGGCGCAGATAAGGGAAAGGAAAGACATACCATATCCAGTATCCGGGTATGAATGTGCTTGCAGCATCTATGCCTTGAGCAGCGCGAACTTTGATCCCCGGTGGGTCCAGTCCAGTCGTCGTATCGAGTTTGAGCGACTTGACCCACCGTTCCTTATCCGTTAACACAGCGCGTATCATCCTGCATCTCCTTCAGCTCTTCATGCAGTATCAATGCGACACTGCTCACGTAGTCGTCCCCCACAGTCTCTTCCTGAAGAACGTCCTCGCTTCTTCCGAAGTGCTCCAGCTCTCCAGCCCAGTGCTCACAATACCCGGTACCATGATCACGGGGAACTCCGCCGCATACCCCTTCTCGGCCAGCTCCGTACCGACCTTAAAGTCCCTACTCGTGAGCCACTCGCTCGTCGGAGCCATCGTTTCCCGAACATTAGCCACGATCTGTGACAGAGAGAGTTCAAGCGACCAGTTGGGCATCGCATCGGAGATGGAGAAGTTGGGAAGGTCAAAGTCTTCTAGTGCGGAGAGCTGGGGAGGGAGCGGGACGACAAGGAATATGGCGGCTATTATGCCTAGCCCGAAGGCGAACATAAATAGGAACTGTCGGGATCTGAAGAAGGACTGGCAGGTTGTTAGTGAGCATTAACGCCAAACGGAGGAGCGCACGGAAGGCTTGATATCATTTGCATCATGTTGTAGCCAGTTGATCTCTGATAGGTCTATACCAGGCGTAGAGGCCGCGAGGTTGAGCTGCGAGGGTCAACATTCCTCACAATGAGCAGGGTTGAGCACTCACGAGCAGTTCCTTGGCTGTTTTCTTCTTCTCTGGAGTCTTTGGAGACGCTGAACTTGCAGCGTCTGGCTTGCCCACCACCGGCTCCACTTTCACATCACGTCGCCGCATCCTATCCTTATCCAGAAGTGTACAGAGGGCGCGTGTATACACTGAAGAGTAGGTACAACAGCTTGCAGCGGACGGAATGATGTTGCCGACCCGACGCGGAAACGGGTCGAACTTTTACTCCGGCTAGTTTTTCCGAGCGCATGAAAACCGCGTCCCTGAGCTCAGTCACCATTTTGCCGGCTCATCCGTCATCGGTCATCTATCGCACCTCCGACCAACCAAATTCAGCCAAAATGCGCCGAGGAATCCGAGCGCCCGTCAACATGCTGGACTATGCACAGCGAGGTCTGGCGGGCGGTCTTGTAGCTCTGACTGTGAGTGGCCTTCTGGAGTTTGTAATGGGAACTCATGGGTTCAGGTGTATGGGTTGTACGAGATGGTCGTTGTACACAATGCGACTATGAAGGCTGGCGAAGGCGAGTGCTTTCGTCAGGATGTAGTGGATCGAAACTAATTAGAGTAGAGGTATAAGTTATTGCAGTGAAGAGAAGAACAGACGTTGACTTCTCTTAGGCATTCGCAAAACGAAACAGAGACCAAGAGGCGCTTGCCTTAGCCGTGCGCATGCCCCCGACTATCGTCGGATACGTTTCTGATACCCTTCCAGGCAGCGCAAGAGGAAGAAAAGATTGCTGCTCGTGCGGAGGCTGCACAATCTGCGAGCCGGCCGGGCTCCTCATGATGTCCCTTCTTGGTAGTTCACAGCACCCCTCAATGTATAAATACCATGACGATCTCTTTTGCTCGATCTACATACGACTGGTTGGCCGATCAGGTGGCATATGGAAATCTGATCCTTGTACCATCGGTCGGCAGTATCTCTGGCACACGCAAGGTGCGCATGACGCTGTCAATAACGTTAACGTCATAGACGACAGAAGTGCTGCAACTTTCAGCGAAACGATATTCTCTTGCTTAAAAAGGGGGAGATTGTACAAGCATAACGTTTGAATGGAAGACGTTGGAAAACGAATTTAATACCGAACTAGCGTCTCTTCTCCACCGATCTCTCGCATCAACGTGTTTGAGTGACCATTGATGTATACGAGACAATACTGTGAGTAAGGCTGGCGTCGGATTATATGCTTTACGATGTACCAATGAATAGTGTATTGTGCACGGACTGAGCATGGGTAGGCTCTGTAGCGCGCGATGACGATATTTGAAAGTGGACCGGCTCCAAGTTATAAGTCAGCACGCTGGAGTCGAGGCGCTGGTGCATAGTTGAAGTTTGGGCGCAGTACATCAAGAAACATCCAAACGGCCAAAGAATGGGTCCCACTCGAAGGTGTGAAAGGTGGAGGAGGCCTGGGCCACATGACGAAAAGAAGAGCACCTTGAATGAAGTGGCTATCAGACTTGTTGCCCAATGCGTTTCTAATTGGAATAGTCAACACATATGGATCAGAAGAAGCGCTTCAGATTATCGATGATCCATAAGGTCCTAAATATGTGACTCCTCCGGGGCGTGGTGTGTGCATGGTGTGGTGCGTATGTGCTGTAAGCTCCGCTGATGTGAGTCTACCGGCCCGGATCTGTCCCCCAATTTCTACTCTCATCTGCTTGCCTGTCGTCTGCTTTGCTTGGTCAGCTCCCCTCAATGCGAAGCCTCCGCAGTGCCCTCGAAATGAATAACAAACAACCGCAGATCGTCCGAGACATGCCTGAAACAATAGCATATCTCCGAGATTTGGAATCTTTCTCATCCGGCTTCTCACCAGTACATCCACATCGAAGGCTATGGGACAAGAGCATCAAATCTAGAATCGCTCAGATTGTGGATCACTGGGACGCAAGGCCAGATGACTTCCTGCACTCCCTTTTCCCATATCATCCATGTATCCCGAAGAGTTGTGCCAAGTGCAACCGCAGAGCGCCCCGGGGTTGGTATTCAGTGGTACGTCTGGGATCAGGTTCTGAGAACACTTCCACTGATGTAGATTATTAGAAACGTCCCGTGACAAACAAAGTTGGATTAGACGAGCGTGCGTGGCGGTGGAGGAACTTGCAGGGCCTGACATGTAGGATGCTCCAAGAGCGTGGGTTGATCTGGATCAGCCTTCCGGAGAAGCATGAGACCGAGGAACAAATTGTACGTATTTAAGACTTGGGGGGAGTCACGTATCTCGCTGAGTGTCGTTCCAGCAAGACGAGCTCGATCTTTTGGAGCCGCCGGATTATCCATCATGGACACGCGGCCACACGTTGATCGCAGCAAGCGCGGCGTGTCCTGGCATTGTGCTGCACCCGTGTCCGGAGATAAGAGTTGCCAGGCCCAAACCAGACAAGCGGCTGCTTTGGTCGGGAAGAACTGCAGAGAATGTCTGGTCGCCGCGAGGT